GAGTCAAAAACAACGGAAAAGAATACTAGAAAAAAATTCGCTGCACTAAGAAACACAATTTATGAAAATTTGCAGTTGTCATTTTAATTTCATTAAAATTTTGATATAATATTCCTTAGAGTGATTTGCAATAAAAATTATAAAAGATATAAAAAAAAGTGTAAGATACAATACTGAAGTATACTATAGTGACCCAGTTTTTGTTTGTCATAAGATCTGATATTAACAATCTTATATAAATAGTATTAAAAATAGCAAAGTAATTTTATAATCCTTTATAAGATTTTCTTATATAGTTTAAATATATAATTAAAATGTAGCATGTTAAAATTATAAAAGAAGATTTTGCTGAAAATTTACAGTTCAATTCCAAATATCATCGGATGATTTTTTTTTCCTTTTTTCCGTGTACAAACGGCGAGGGACTAGCCCAGAAAAGGGTTATAAAGCTCAGTTCCATCCGAACTCCCCCTCTCTTCCCCCCTTATCTTTGTTCTAGGCCATTATTGTGCAGGCTTTATTGTTTTTTGTGCTTTTGCCATCTTACTCATTTTATTGTTTTGGCTCCTTTGCCTTTTGTTGAATTGAAACAATTTGTCACTTTTTGGCCAAGTGCCTGTGGCGGGTTTTTGTTCAGCAATGCGAGAGTTAACTGAACCTCTGAGGAAAACCCCTGCCACGTTAATTCATCTCCTTTGTAGTTAATGAAATGAATGAAGAGCAAAGCGCAGATGGGCGCACAAAAATATACATAATATTTCTGACAGTGGTTATTGCAAATTGGCAACTTCTGTTGGAGGCTTGAAAATTACGGATTTCCTGAGGGGTCATGAGGTAAGTCAAATTACCAGGATTAATATATATTTTTTTAAATCAAATGTTGAACTGAAATAGTTACAAAATCCTCCAATTACAAATTAAAGTTTTTTTTGCACAAACCAATTTGCATGGCGAAAAACTGACTAATAAATGAACAGTTATTAAAAATCTCTCCTTACAAGTTTGCAAAGGCCATTAGTAAATATATTATGGCTGAGTAGATATATCATTGTAGTTGTTGATTGCATTATCTCCACAATTACCATAAAAATGTGTAAAAGGGAAAAGTAACTATAATTTCCAACATATGTTTGAATCTCTTTACGAAGTGTTCTGCCTATAACTCGATATATACAATGAACTGCATTTCATTAGCTCACCGCACTTGCCACGTGTAAAAACAGCAAAAAAATAAATAAAAAGATTGCAAAAAATCAATCGGCCGTTTAAATTTCACTGAATTGCCATTTCATTTGCATAAGTTACGGATTGAACATTACATTACAGTACATTAAATTAATGTCAGACGGCCACTTAGTTCGAATAAAATAAAAGCAATGCAATTTGTTCACACAAGCAGTTAAAGACCAGTTGAAAAAAAAATAAAAATCAAGAACTGTTAAAAGAGATTTTGTTTGGCATTAGCTTTCTGGGATAACCAATCAAATAAATAAGATTAAAGGGCACAAAGGGGAAGGAGGCCTACTTAACCTCGGATGGACCTGCTTTATCAAAAGACAGAGACTGAAGCTCCAAGATGCCGGCTTATTCCACTGCAGCATTGCTCCACCTCACCACCGCTCGTCCCATTTTCCACCTGCACCACCTGGCTTCAGTCCTCCCTTTGAACTTTGCCCAGTGGTTTCTAAATCGGCCCAAATGTCTTAACAATGAAATCAATTCTGAACAGCCTTTTGTGCCGGACTCTCGCACAAACCCACGTCCACACTCTGAAGCAGGTCCTTTGTAGTGGACCGCCTAAATGTTAGCTGACTGCTTGAAATGTGAAAGAATGGACGATTGAAAAATATTTTCTTAAGATATTTTTTACTATTAACATTTTTTAAAATAAAGATTAGACACACTACAAGTGCAATGTATACATACACAGAAAAAAGGTAATTAAAACGATTATCTTTTTGATGTTGATACGGAAATAAATATATTTAGAAAATGTCAAAATACATGTTTATATAAAGAAATGATTTTTAAATATATAAATGTTAAATAAAAATCTAAATGTTGTTACATATATATTTATTCCTTTTCTAATTAATATTTTTTAACTTAACAAATCTTCCGATGTTTCAATATAGCATGTGTATTTTTACAAATTAGTAGCGATTAGTACACAAACCACAGCTATTGCTAGGTTGCTTTCCTGACTATTTTCCTGAATGACTCTCAAAATTAGCCTTCCACAAGACTCAGTGCGGCTGTCGGAACTCAGCTTTCTTTTGAAGTTCATTGTGCCCGAGGCTACTTCAGACGCTTCTGCAACAGTGGGTGCACGACTGTTGGGGTTGCTGGTTTGCATATTGTTGGATACTCATGTCTGGGGCATGCTTGAAATGCAACATTTCACCGGAAAGCAGCGGAAGGCCTTTTATATGCCCGGCCAACTTCCGGTCTATAGAAAACTAAACTCTGTTGCCACAATTCATTCTGCAGCTGTTGTTGTTGTTGTTGCCAGGTGGTGGCAGGTGAACAAAAGGTGCGCCTATGCATATGCTTTATTGTTGTGTTTTTTCCGCAGTCAAGCGGCACAAAAGTGTTGCCTTCTTGCAGGTGGAGCGACCTTAAACTTGGCAAATTACTTTACATTTTTTTTTAAATACTCTAATTTATATTTTATATTAATAGTTATCCGTTTTAAAATGTAAGAATTAAAAAACTAAGCGGGCAAGATTTGAACGGCTGTCCACAAAATATGGTTTTTACCACTTTAACCTGCAATATATAATTGTCTATCAGTTTTTGATTTTTCACTTATCAAAACATAAACATTGTTTCATTGTTAAATGTCTTCCAGTTACACGCATTTATTATAAGTTTGACTTCTATGAGGGAATTATCATAGCCAGAAATCAAGACGTTTGTTAACGTCTCACTAAAAATTGGCCAGAACCAACTGATCACAAAGCCAAGTTCCATTTAATCGGACGTAGTACTCAACACTTTGTGTTCTAGTGAATATTCACCATTTATACTTTTTTAAAAACAAAAACCTAAAGATAAGCCGCGTGCAAAAGTTAGTCAAGTAGAAGAATGACGCAGGTTAATGGACTTCTCTTGTGATATTTGACTTGACCCAGACCCATAGCAATTCTGCCTTATCCGTAGACATCTCATTTTATTTGTTCTTTATGCGCGTCGTGAATTTTTCAAGTGAAAAGTTTACATTTATTATCCTGGAGAGGAATGGGTCTTATAAAAAGGGTGGGGACCAAAAGTGGATGGGCCCAACCTGTCCTTCGAGGGACAACAAACAACACATTACGTTTAATTGAATGTTGCGGTTGTGTCGCCCGCGCCGACCCATTCTTCTTCCGTTTCTTGTAAGCCATTTTCTTCCTCAAGCCCTCTTTTTGTCGCTGGTTTTATCTGACTGACTTACACTCTAAAAAATAAATACAATAGCCTAATTCCTAAAGAAAAATATATTAAACTCTTTGTCCCACTTTGCGATATAAACGGAAAAACGGAGATTAAAAAAAATTAACCTACGTAAAAGAAAAATATCTTACAAATGTGATCTTACAAAATATGAATAGTAAAAACTTTATTTAATAATTTTTTTCCAGTGCAAACGTGTATATGACACGCGCCGCGCAAGAAAGGAACAGGAATTATAATGTAGTGTAAATATTTAATGATGATGTGGCTTTAGATTACGCCCCCGTCACGTGGTTGCTGTTAAACGTGCCCCCATCCATAGCGAAATCTTGACCTGGCCTGAGCTCCCCCGGCCAATTCAATGAGTCGGAAAAGTCGCTGCCGGCAGGACAGTTTTCCACGCGTAGGCACAATTCCTCGGGCGGTGGCCACTGAACTGCAAAAAGGCCTCCGACTGCTGATATGCATACAAAAAACAAAAGCAAATGAATAAACATTTATATGGGCAAATTTAATGAGCGTAAATAAAAATATTACTTATCTCAGCCCAAAACATTTACTACTAAAAAGAGGATAAATCTCTTCAAGCCAAAACAAAAAACAAGAAAATTACATTTGAAGAAAGGCAGCCATTTGAAGTGTCTACTGTCAATAAAAATGTATAAGAAACTATATGGCATTTGATGACTGCATAAAAAAGTTATTAACTTTTTATTGATATCAACATTTTAAAGAAATTGTCTGTTTAGAAAACTTATAAAAAGTATTTTAGTTGATCAAAAGATTTAACGAAAAATCCCAAAAGTTATAATAAACTTCGCATTTTAAACATGATTCCCAAAAATGATATGTTTGTCAAAGGTTAAAATTTCCAGTTTAAAAATGTTAATAATTTCTTATAATTCTGTTTCTATTGTAAATGCTTTTTCTAAGTCGTTTTCGAATTTTAACCGCCAAGTCCAACGAGGTTAAAATACATTCCATTTTATTGATAGTTTCCCGATACAATCGGCAAGTTATCGGTGTGCGTCTTTGCTTTAAGTCATCTGCTAGGGAAGATGTCTCGGATTTGGAGTCCATTACGTTTTTATCCAGGGTGTCATCCCAAAGAATATTTAGCTGCTAAAATAATGTCGCTATTGGGAAATTGTCGAAAACTAATAAAAACCACTTATAGGCTTACAAAAAAATCAATACAAATTTATTTTTTAATTAAAATTTAAATCATTAAATTGTTTGACAAAAAACGGAAAACATTTATTTTTCCAAGTCGATTACAACAAGAACATATTTTAAACTCTTAAGTTATTTTTAATAATTAATTAAAAATTGTATGGAAATTAAATAATAACATATTCTATAACTTAGACTTTGTTTTTAAACTTGGTTTTTTTCAGGTTATAAAATATGTTAAAATTTTCTTAAATTTTACATGTAAACAGCTAAAGTAATATTAATTATTTAAATAAATTAAAGAAACCTATAAACCTTCATTGCTTTTCTCCCATAACAGATTGATTCAGCTTGGAAATAGCCAGCTGGGCATAGCTGCGCACTGTTGTGTTATCGCACTTATCGAGTGGCGTGATTATTCGATAGCCTATGATAGAGAAAATGTACGTCATGTGATTGTGGATTCTTTTTTCGCACGGAGCAGTCACCTGTCGACAGAAAATACAATTACGCCTGCAATTCGGTGAGTGTCAGCTGGAAAAGTTGGAAATCCGGATGTGCTAACACTCCCACGATCCGCAGACAGTGAAGAAATAGCAAGATGGCGGCCCAAATACGCACCGTGGTGTCCCAAACGTTCCTGTGGCTCTTCCTCGCCGTGGCCACCATCCTGACCCTGTACTTCGTGCTGACGGGCAAGGGCGAGCGGGTGAGCGTGGGCTGGTTCCTGGCCTCCTCGAACCCGTACATGTGGGCCTGCCTTGGCATTGGGCTCTCCGTGTCACTGTCCGTCGTGGGCGCCGCCCTGGGCATCCACACTACGGGCACCAGCATCGTGGGCGGAGGCGTGAAGGCGCCCCGCATCAAGACCAAGAATCTGATTTCGGTCATCTTCTGCGAGGCGGTGGCCATCTACGGTCTGATCACCGCCATCGTGCTGTCCGGCCAGCTGGAGCAGTTCTCGATGGAGACGGCCCTGTCGCAGGCGGCCATCCAGAACACCAACTGGTTCTCCGGCTACCTCATCTTTGGCGCCGGCCTCGCCGTCGGCCTGGTCAACCTCTTCTGCGGCATCGCTGTGGGCATCGTGGGATCGGGAGCCGCCCTTTCGGACGCCGCCAATGCCGCTCTGTTCGTGAAGATCCTCATTGTGGAGATCTTCGGCTCGGCCATCGGTCTGTTCGGCCTCATCGTGGGCATCTACATGACCTCCAAGTCCAAGATGGGCGACAAGGAGTAGGCGAAGTCGCCAGCCATCCAGTGTAAGTGTGTGAATCACCATCCAACAGCGAAGGTCATGATAATAGAGCTGGCAGTAGGGCGACTGATTTCACTGGCACGCAATTAACTTATCATATTTAGGTTGCATTCTAGGACTTAGTTCTTTGCATTGCTTTTTATTTGATTACTTCTTAAATATCTCTCAATTACTGTTACTGTTTCTACCCAAAGGAAAGAAGACAAATTAATTAATAACTTCTTAATTAAAAACGAGTTTTTAGATTGATATAAAGATGAGAAAGCGTGCCTTAAAATGTAACTCAAAAAACCGTTTAATTTTATAAAATAATCAGTTTACTTATCCCTAATGGGCTGTTCTTGAGACTCTTGAAATGCACCTAAACGTAAATTCTATTTGACTTTTATTAATCCCATAATAACACAATGCAAATCAATGTTTAAATATTTTCGTATTGTTCGTAAATTTCTTAGCCAAATACAAATGGTTAAAAAAACCATACAATTGGTAGTCGAGATATCTAACACGATTTTTATTAAAACAACCATGTTTAGCAATGTGATTATTACATCTTATTTTTATAATGTGTTATCACTTACAAGATAAGATGTATAGAAGCAAAATAAGCCAATATGGTTATGGAATAAGTGCTAACTTCCCTTTTCAATGGTACTGTGTTTATAAAGTCCTCATATTATCGGATAAAATACATTTTTAAAAGCTTAAAAAAAATGTCAGTGGATAAACCCAAATAAGAATTATCAAAAGCATATACTAATAATTTATTTGATAGCGTAAGGGTTACCAAATCTACTCGTTTTATGAGACCAGCCTGGAGTGCTATGTAATATTTGAATCATCCATTAAATTATCACTTTTCTCCCGCAGCCTTCGCCCCCCATCATCCCGAAGAACAAGAATCAGTCACCAAGGCATTCCCCCATCCCGAAGCAAGCACGCGCAACACCAGTGTTTGCATATTTTTTGGAAATTACAACTCGTTATATGCAGTTACAGCTTGCAGGAGACTCCCCACAAACCGAAATACGATCAGTCGAAACGCTTTAAACTGGGACTTTAGTTACTTATTAAGTTGATAGTTGGTTAAGTTAGCAGTTGGTTTTCACGCCTCGCACACTTTGCAGTCATCAGCATCACTCAATCGATTGTGGAGTGTGCTCAGTGTGAAAACGACGGCGATTTGTTTGTATAATTATTTTGCCAAACGAAAGACAACGTGTGTGTGTGTCCGTTTATGATTTTAAGTAGTTTGTTATGTTTGTTTCTACACTGGCTCTTCAACGGCTAATTGAGAATGTATTATATTAACTACCACAAAACGAAAAACTTGTATATTTCAGGCTACTGTTCAAGGCAGAAGTTGTAGAAAGATGCACAGTCGCATTATTATTATTATAGAAAGTATTCCATATTAAAACAAATAATAAAATATATACGTTTTGTTTATCAATTAATGTGAGAAAATAACCATGATGATGGCTTATCAGAAGCACGCGCTAAATGGTTGAGTGCATTACATACATCATCCGTATATACATACATACTTATATGTGTTTTATCAATTTTAAATGAGTTTTAACAGGACGGTGAGTAACAGGCATATTCCGAACACTTATCTACAACTTTTATTTTGTCAATAATATTTATGATTTTTATAATTTTTATAAATAACTTCCAAGCAAATGCAGTTGGTTTTATTTTAATTTTGAGCAATGTCTTTCCATACTTTACAATTAATTCAGCTTTACTGTGTTGGCTGTAAGTGTGACATAACCACCCGGATAAATATAAACACTCATGGCGAGAGAAACATAAACTGCTGGTCTTATGTTGTGTCAGCAGTAAGGAAAGCTCAACTACTGCTGCATGCGTTATCCAATCGTACATATAACCCACATATGTTTATATTTTCATACATATGATGACTTTGCTTGAATAATTTCAAATCTCGCACTGAAATTTATTCGCGTTTGTCTCGCCTTACGGAAAGCAAGTGTAACTGCAAGAGTTTAAAAATTACATAGACCATATAACTAAATTTACACGATTTTTAATATAATATTTAAAATAAATTAGAGTATACGTTAATAAAGGAAATAAAAATGCACAAAAGCATATACAAATAAATAAAACAAAATTAAACTGGTGGTCTGGTGTTGTGTCAGCATTAAGGGAAATCTCAACTACTGCTGAAGACGTTATCCAATCGTAAATACATACCCACTAATGTTTATATTTACATACTTATGATGACTTGGCTTAAATCCTTTTAAATATCACACAAATATTTATTCGCGTTTGCCTCGACTTTCGGCAACCAAGTGTAACTGCACGAGTTTAAATTGACTAGGTAATAGAACTGGAATTACACGATATATTAAATTATCTTTAAAATAAATTAAAGTAGCAAAGCACATAAAAATACACAAAAACATTTAAAAATAAATAGAATTGAATTACAGGCTAGGTTAAACAATAAATAGTAAAAGAGAGCTTTTAATTTGAACTACCGCGCAAAAATCGCTAAGGAGTTGGCAGCCCGGCGCCACAGAGTTGCATTTGGCGGCCATTTTAAAAGTGACGTTCTCCATTTTCTTTCGCATCCTCTTTCTTTTGGCGAAAAACGCTGCCCAAGTCGCACGCTTTTTGAGTTCCAGCTTGATTTTAGTGGTCCAACATGTCCGAGGAGGTGGTGGAGTCCAACAACCAAGAGGCGGGTCAGCTCCCGCCTCCGCCGCAGGACGAGGAGATCTGGGAGGAAGAGGGCGCGACCACGATGGCCGCCCAGCAGGCCACCGAGTGGCCGGAAATCAAGCTATTTGGCCGCTGGGCCTGCGACGACATCTCGATCAGCGACATCTCGCTGCAGGACTACATCGCCGTGAAGGAGAAGTTCGCCCGCTACCTGCCGCACTCGGCAGGTCGCTACGCGGCCAAGCGGTTCCGGAAGGCCCAGTGTCCCATCGTGGAGCGCCTCACCAGTGGTCTGATGATGAAGGGCCGCAGCAACGGCAAGAAGCTCCTCGCCTGCCGCATCGTCAAGCACGCCTTCGAGATCATCCACCTGCTGACCTCGGAGAACCCGCTCCAGGTCACGGTCAACGCCATAGTCAACTCCGGTCCGCGGGAGGACTCTACGCGTATCGGACGCGCCGGCACCGTGCGCCGACAGGCCGTCGATGTGTCGCCCTTGAGGCGCGTGAATCAGGTGAATATATATATTCATATCCATATGGGATCAAAACAAGTGAGAAGGTTAACACCTTTCAGTAGTCATAGATCCAACAAGTACATCTGGAGTGTACCAGTGCTCTCTTCCAAGCCAATTAAGAGTCAATGATTGGAGCTTGTATTTAAAAAAATATACAACTTTATATAGTTCCTCACGATTCTACAACAATTTATTAATATACATACATTGATTTGTATGTAATTAAGCTTTAAAAAGCACCGTTTATGCAATTGTAAAGAACCACAATTTTCATCCACAAAGTGGATATATATATTTATTGGAGATTAATGTTTTCTTTGAAATGATAACATTAATAACTTCTAACACAAGCTATTTTAAATAGCTATTAAAGTTAAAAACATTCAAAAACCAATGTGATGCCAATGAAAAATATGTTTTTGTATCTCCCCAAAATTTCACCGAAATATATTTTTGGAATAGAATTTGGAGATCAGAATAAAACTACCTTAATAAGTTTGGAAGGTTTTATTATAGTCCATTTATACTACGAGTTGGATAGTAAAGATATTATTTATACCTATATTTGTAATAAAAACATATACAATATATTGTTTTGAGCTTATTTTTTGCAACAATACTTTAAACTTTTTAATATAATTATTTGACATACATTTGCCAATCAGTAATTTCACCAATGCAAAAGGTATTTATTAAAAATGTTATGATACTCTTCAATTACAGGCAATTTGGCTAATTTGCACTGGAGCACGTGAGGCGGCTTTCCGTAATATCAAAACTGTGGCCGAGTGTCTGGCCGATGAGCTGATTAACGCTGCCAAGGGATCTTCCAATTCGTATGCCATTAAAAAGAAGGATGAACTGGAGCGAGTGGCCAAATCAAATCGTTAGACTGCGATTATTTCATTACTTTCACGAATTGATGCACACATACATAAGTTCTTATGTAATCATTTCATCTTCTAACTAAATACAGAGATGTATTTTATAAGATTGGTTTTATTGAGCCCAAGGGATGGAAGAGATCAAATACTTAACAAATAATTATACGAACAGAAAAGTTAATTCCTGTTTGGGGGAGTTAAAAGATATAACTTTAAGTATGAACATTTTTAAAGCGGATTACTTCGAATATGTCAACAAGTTTCAAATCAATTTTTAAGGAATTAGTAGGGCCAAGCCATTTTTTAAAAACTGAATAACAATACTTGATTTGAAAAACTAACTTTTAATGGTAAATGGTAATGTTTTAAAGTTTTAATCAAGCAATCGAATAGGCTTTGACTAGCTGAATCATCAGAAAAATAAGTTGCTTTCGAGTCTAAGAACGTTTCGCACTAAAAAATAGTTGGAATAATGAATTTCGGAATCTTTTTCGTGCTGTTCGTGCTTTGTGCCGCCACACTTGCTGTGGGTGGCATAGTCCTGGCCAACGTGATGACCGGAACGGGTGAGCGAATGGGTCTCGGCTGGGCTCTGTACACCTCGAATCCCTTCCTGTGGTCAGGCTTGGGAATCTTCCTCGCCTGCGCCCTGTCTGTTCTGGGCGCTGCCATGGGGATTTACATGATTGGGTGCAGCGTGGCTGGTGGCGGAGTGCGATCCCCCCGCATCAAAACCAAGAATCTGATCTCGGTCATCTTCTGCGAGGCGGTGGCCATCTACGGCCTCATCACGGCCATCCTGCTCTCCGGCTCCGTTCAGCGGTTCAGCAGCGAACGACTGATCACCGACCGGACGGTGATTTCGACCAACATGTTCACGGGATTCGCTGTTTTTGGCGCAGGTCTTTGCGCGGGACTGGTGAACGTGACCTGTGGCGTGGCAGTGGGCGTTGTGGGTTCCGGCGCTGCCCTGGCGGATGCGGCCAACTCGGCGCTCTTTGTCAAGATCCTCATCGTGGAAATCTTTGGCTCGGCCATCGGCCTGTTTGGCCTGATCGTGGCCATCTACATGACCTCGAAGGCAGAGATGATTAACTAGTCCATTACAATAAAGGTCTTAAAATTGAATAGCTAACATTTATTCGGTAACTAAAGCTAATCCTCCCCATCATCATCGTCACTGTCATCTGCTTCATCATTGTTGCCCTCCTCGTCGTCGTCGTCTTCCTCGTCCCAGTGCTTGATTTTCTTGTTGGTCATGAAGTCCTCGCGCAGCACACTCCACTCAGACTTCTTTTTGCCGCTGGATCCCTCATCCTCGTCGTCATCATCATCCGTTTCTTGTTCCTCTTTCTTTACTGCATTGTCTATGGCTGTGGATTTCGCCCGCTTGCCGCTCATCAGAACATCTAGAAACTTGCGCTTGTTAATGTTGTTGAGCACTGCATCCTGCCGGCTGTCCAGGGGACCCGCATCCTCCAACTGCTGCTCCAGATCCTTCTGCTGGATGCGCACGGCGTTGAAGAACTGCACCACTCCGCGGGTGGCCACTTTGCGGAGCGTTCGCTCGCGTTCTAGGTCCCGGAAACTAGGCTTCACTCGCAGCTGGAGGGGCACGTTCTTGCGCTGCTGTTTGGTCAGAGTGGCATCTAGAGCAGAGGCCTCTGGCTTCTCATCCTCGTCGTCATCGTCCTCCTCCTGAACCTCTGTTTTTTCGATTTCAAAGTCAAATCCCGGCTTCTTTGCAGCCGCGGATTTCTGGAATCGCACTGCTGCCTGGCTGTTTTTGGCACGAGCTAACACGGTCTTGTTTTGGGTCTCTGGTTTGGTGGTCTTCAGGACCTTCAGGATGGAATCCGCCCAGCCGGCGTTGCCTTCTGCCTCGCTGCCAGAATTCTGACTACCCTCGGAATCGGATTCTTCCGGGGAACTGTCGGCGGCCGGAGCAGACTTATTTTTCGGACGCTTTTCTGTCAACAAAGCCATTTTATGCGAGCAAACAAGTGGATCCAACTATAAAAACAAATCGCGCACGTTTTTAGAGATGGAAAAGTGAACCACATACCAGGGCAACTATCGATAACAAAAATTAGTGGCGTGGGATAGTAAATAGGAAAATATTAAATAACACTGAGCAACATATTTTTTAAGACCAAATTTATAAATATTCTATATGTAGTGTTATTGAATAGGTCAATACCAAAACCAAATGTTCTATTAAAGTTAAAAAAAAATTAACTTAATATTTATGTAACTATTTTTTTCGTGACTGAAATAAGAAATATATGCCTTGCAAAAATGTTATTACAAGGCTCGCTTGAAATGGTAAAAAACTATTTGACATTATTACAAAATCATAATTTTCTTTCTATTTTAGATACAATTTTGAATGTTTTTAATATATACTGCTTGTAAATATATTTAATTCACTTCAACAGTAGCTGGCAGCATACTACATATTTGTTCAGAGAGAACACTGTACTTCCATGAAGCTCGATAGTGCGATCTCTAATTTAGTTGTGGCGCAAATATCTAACAACACTTTATGTTCGACGCCGGCTATCTTTGTATACATTATTACTTATTTATCTGTAAAAATGGACCTAAACACCCTGCTGCAGCGAGCCCAGAACCTAACCAATGAGGCGAAAGCGGAGTGCGAGCTGCCCGCCGTGGAGCGGACGCTTCAGCAGGTCCTGCAGGCCACTACGGAGCTCCACTCCCGGGTCACCCAAACCGGCGGCAAGGAGATCCAAGCGTGAGTAAACGAGTCCCAACTAAACTGAGTCCAGAGCGTAAGACATGACATCTTCACTAGGCACATACTGCTGGGATCCAAGGGCGTGGACCTGCCCAAACTGAACCAGAAACTGGAGGCACTGAGTGCCCGAAAAACTTTCGAGCCACTGGACGTAAAGGCGGACACGGATGTGCGGACATTTCTGAAGAACGAGCGCGAAAACGCAATCCTCTCTGTGATCGAGGACACCAACAAGAACGTGAGTAAGCATTTGGCAGGCTAAACCATCGCTGACATCTCCCTGAATCCCCAGATCAGCGATTCAGTGAGCAAACAAAAGTGGGCCAGCATGAACAGCGCCTGGAACCAGGAGAAGGCCCGCCTACTGGACGCCCTGATAGCGCCCTCTCAGAACTTTATCGACCTGCAGCGTCTGCCCGAACCCACCATCCTCAATCCGCACTGCCAGCCGCGTTCCTGCCTTGATCATCTAGAACTGGTTTATGCCCAGGAACTGCGCAATTATAACGAACTGCTGCTGAAGGGTAGCAACCGGCCCAACCTCGTGCAGAAGTTTGCTCAGTTGTCCCACAGCTTCGGTGACTGCCGGCTGTTGGACATGTGGACCCTGCTGGCCTGCGTCACCCAAATAAGCGAGCCTCTGCACTGCGATCCCATCAAGAGCAGGCAGCAGCGGCCGGAGTTTGTTAGCCACGCAAAATCCTACCTAGAGCGGCGCTACCGGGTGTTCATGAGTTCCCAGGTGAGCGGCTCCTATGCCAGCAATAGTTATCAATTGGTCCTGGCCTACGTGAGCCACCGCTTCAGTGCCCAGCAGACCATCGGACTGGTGGACACGGTAGGCGAAAGACCGTTGTGGCCCCTGGTCTACTACGGATTGCGCTGTGGATCGACTGAGACGGCGGTTGAGTTCCTGCGCGAAGCGGGCAGTAGCCACGAGGAGTTTGCACAACTGGTGGCAGATCGAAATGCGGGCGACACAAATTCCCGGATCGAAAACCAACTGAGGCTGCAGTATGCCAACAAAATACGCAACTCCACGGATGCCTACAAGAAGGCCGTTTATTGCATCCTTCTGGGCTGCGATGTCAATGAGGTTCATGGAGAGGTGGCCAAGACCATTGACGACTTTTTGTGGATTCGGCTGGCTATGTTGCAGCCCGGCGACGCCGCCAACTTTGGAAAGTTGCAGTCGCTGATTCTGGAGAAATACGGCGAGAAATATTTTAATGCCGGCCAGCAGCCGCATCTGTACTTCGAAACACTGGCACTTACTGGACAGTTTGAAGCCGCCATTGAGCTCCTCTACCGCCGGGATGACACCCGCGTCCATGCCGTGCACATGGCCATAGCACTTCACGAGATGGGTCTTCTGGGTGGGGCACGCAGTGTGTCCCAGCCCCTGTTATCGATTGACATCAAGGATCCGCAGCCGTTGCGACGCCTCAACCTAACCCGCTTAATTCGGCAGTATGTGCAGAGATTCGAGCGCACGGACACCTCGGAGGCTTTGCATTACTACTACACGCTGCGCTGCCTAAAAGATCCCAAGGGCAGGAACATGTTCATGGCGTGCGTCTGCAATGTGGTGGTGGACAGTGGAGTTTTTGATACGACCATATTTGATCTGATATTCGGCCAGCGACAGGCGAGTGACCAAGACGAGGTTAACAGGTGAGGAGGCAGTTTTATTTTCGTTTGAATCAGTCATAAATTTAAAGTCTATCATACTTTCAGTGGCCTTTTCCGCCAGTTCGACTGTTCAGAGTTTAACACGAGCACCATGGCAGCTCTGGTGGCTGACGAACTGGCTTCTCTGGGCAACTTTGAGATCTCAGCACGACTCTACGAAATGGCCGGCAAATATAACCTGGCTCTGAAGCACATCTGCATTCTGCTGGCCCAAGTGGTGCATCTGCCCACGCTCGGTGGATCGTTAAGGGAGCGCCTCGGCCAGGAGGCCCAGAGACTCACTCAACTGTTGGCCAACGACAGCATCGAGGTGGAGCCCAAAATGAAGAGCAGCTTTGTATTACTGCAGGATCTGCTTACCTTCTTCAATTTCTATCACGACGGGAATCTAAGTGCCGCTTTGGAGCAGCTTCGACGGACCCAGTTGATGCCCAACACGACGAACGATGTGGATGTGTGTTTGACCAATGTGAAGCGACTCAGTGGCGAGGTGATCAAGGTGCTGCCCGACGTTATTGTGGCCGCCATGGACATCGCCCAGCGGCAGTATAAGCAGCTGAAAACGGGTGTGGGGAGCTCGATGGAACAGATCGAAATGCAGCAGCTCCGGCAGCGGGCCAAAGCCCTGTCCAACATGGCCGCCACCATGCCATATCGCCTGCCCAACGACACCAACAGGCGGTTGATTCAACTTGAGCTGGTGATGCACTAGAATAAATTTTCTTTAAGGTATGAAGGCAGGATGGTATCTATTTCATTAGCATGAAAATGTACTCTTCCTCCTCGTCGCTGTCCGTATTGGTATGTGGCCTTTCCTCAAGCTGCTCAATTCTCTGGAGGGCCGCTGATAGCTGCTGCTTAAGATTCAGGCAATTAGAGCAGGATTCATGTGGAATACTCTCCTTGCAGCTCTCCTCGTCGATGCCCGAATCATCGCTCTTGGAACACACTTTCGTCCGCTTGGAATGCAACCTCTCACTTTTAAGTCCCTTTCCCAGGGGATCTTCACCTTCTAAACCCAAATAAAGTTCTGGAACCGCGTCTCTTCTGAGGTTTCCATAGCTGTTGGGTAGAAAACTGCGACGGAAGTGCCTGCCGCAGATGAAAAGCCACTTATTGTCCATCTTAAGGCGGCATATATCCATCCACTTCTTTCGCAGCTCAGGATCCGTGGGAAAGAAGTGCAATCTTTCTGGAGGAGATTGTGAGGGGCAATTTCTGACGCTACATTTGCGGGTAAGGGGTTTTTTCCTCGGTTTACTGATCTGGTGCAGTACCTCTTTTTCACCTTAAACGGTAGGGAAAATTTGTTTAAAAAGCTACTTAAGGGCATTCCCTTGATTCACCTACCCAAATAAAGCGTAGGAAGTGCCCAGGAAAACACTTTTGTCTTGCCAAAACACTGTGCTTCAAAGTGACGCCTACACACCCGACTATTGAACAAGTTAAGGTCTTTCAAACGGCCGATGTTTTCCATCCACTTTTGCCTGATAACTGGATTTATGGGAAACTTGAACATGGATCTACTATCCTGCTGTCCACTCTCATAACAATTGCTAACGATGCAGCGAAGATTTCGGTTTTTCATATTTTTCGGCAATGCTCTATTTAGGTGAAATGATGGTGAGTGAAATGGAGAAAGCAACAAGTGTTGGTAGGCGTTTCAAAACGTAAATTTGGGTCAAGATCAGACTGATCATATGGGCTGGAGGCAGAACAGAAGATAGCTTCAACAACCCAGAGTAAAAATAATTAAATTAAATGTATATGAGTGCCATTTAAGGTTTTTAGCTATCGTTGTTCAAATTTTATGTTGAGGCTCAACAGAAAATTATTCAAACAAGCAAATGCAATTGATGGTCCCACTGCTAAAAAGGTTTGAGCCTTCGATAAGTTTGGGCGCGATTAAATTTAACATGAAAGGAAATTTGTAATGCCTATAATTAAAATATAATTATAAAATAAATCAATTGCTATAAAGATAATACAAAAAAACAACAATAGTACAATAAAAAAATAGTACAACAAAACAAAACAAAGGTAATTTCTTCGAATGTTAAATTCTGATAATCAATAAAAAACCAAGCTTCCATTAAAAATAAATAATTTGTAAGATAAAAAAAAGGGTATTTTTGTGATCCCCCTTCAAAAATACAGACAATATTGGTGAAAAATCGAACATTGAAGACGAGATATACTGTTAAGTTTTTTTATAAACAATAAAAATCATTATTTTTGTGATTTTTTTTTGCTCAAAAATAAGGAGAAAGTTATTGGGATTTCAAAAATTGAAAATCTAGTTTTGTTAATCGCTTGTATCTCATTTAGATTCTTGTCAGTAATCAATTGCGACCATCCGTTTTTGTTCTTCATCTACGGTCAGAAAGTCAAAACTATCCTGCTCGCTGGCGTCTACAGCGAAGCCAAGAATATGGGGCAGTAGAATTGATTAGGAATTTTTTGGAATTATAATTAATTAAAGAATAATTATTCTTTAATTAAAGAATAATTATAATTAAAGTATTTGATTTAAATTAGCATCCGCCATTCGTTAGAACGTTTTATCATATTCGTTTATGAAATATTTCGCCTTTGCTATAATAAATAGGAACGATTGGAAAATCGACTTAGCCTCACTGTTTTCAAGCATTGAAATAGAAATGTAGGATATTTAATTTTTGCAAGGGTATATAAGCGTCGGTTTGTGGAAAACACTGTGTTCCTCATTCCTCGTTTCATCTTTGACGATAAGCTCGTTAGTCGACGCTATCTTAACATTGTTTATTTTATTGCATCTTGTGGACTGGTCAAGATTGTTATCTTTGTTAAAAATTGCATAAAAATGAGTTCATCCGAAACAACTGCATCGGCTTTCTCCAGCTCGGACACGGCCGCCCTGGAGCGGCAAACGGAGACGGAGCAGCCGGTGACCTTCGAACAGATATGGAACGACAATCACCAGAAAATGAGTGGCGAATGGGTTCGACAAAATGGTTACAAAAGGGTGTGTATATCGGCTCTACTATGGAACTTTGCTCTGACAACTGTCCTTTTAGGTTTGCCTACAATTCCCGGATGACTATCTGCCCCACAGTAATGCCATTAGTGTGTGCCTCAGGGAGCTGCTTGGGCCGGAGGAGGTGAAGGTCTTTATCCTGGCGGACACCACATACGGAAGCTGCTGCGTGGACGAGATCGCCGCTGCCCATGTGGATGCAGACAGTGTGATTCACTTCGGAAATGCCTGTCGCAGCAGGGCCACCCGCTTGCCCGTACTATATCTTTACCCAGAGTTGCCACTAGATTTGGATCTACTCCTGGGCAAACTGCAAAGTCTGCGTTTGGAGTGCACAGATCGACAGGTGTGCATTTATCTTGATATTGGCTACCAACATCTCTACGGGGAACAGCTACAAAAGCAGCTAGTTGAGGCACTGCAGCCCAAAGATCTTATCCTAGAGGTATTCCCTCCCATTGAGGGTGATTTAAAGGCCTCCAAGGAAAGTTCCGGCCTAGAGCGGATTTGCATTTTCATCGGTGCCGATAATCAGCGGTTCGCCAATCTTTCCTTGACTGCTCCAGCGGCCGTCCAATGGCATATCTATGACGGTGCCTCTGCCAGTTTCACCGCCAAGAATCCCCTCACAGCTCAGTTCATCCGGCGTCGTTATTTCCACATCGAAAAATGCAAGGACGCACAAACACTAGGCCTTATTGTCGCCACTCTTTCGGCTGAGGGTTACCTCGATGTGGTGGCCCGCCTACAAACCATGGCCAAGGGCAGAGGCATTAAGACGCAACTTATTTCCGTGGGCAGGATTAATCCCGCCAAGCTGGCAAACTTCCTGGAAATAGATTGCTTTGTCCTGATCGGTTGCCCCTTCAACAATATGTACGACTCCAAGGAGTACTATAAGCCCATTGTTTCCGTCTTCGAAGCAGAGATGGCCTTGAATCCTGCTTGGCACATGCGATATCCTGAAGCCTACGTCATGGACTTCAAACAACTTCTGCCGGCAGGACGCAGCTTCCTACCCTTTGATGTGGGAGCCATACCAGAGCACGATGTCAGCTTGGTTAGTGGAAGGCTAAGGGGAGTGGTTAACGATTCCCTGGAAACGGCAGGAGATTCCGCTTCACTAGCCTTAGCCACGCAAGCGAAAATGTCACTAATGACCACAGACACAGGACTCTCCTTCGAGGACCGCACATGGCAGGGATTAGATCCTGCCCTGGGCCAGACGGAGCCCGCTCAGCTGAAACAGGGTCTTAGTGGCATTCCCATTAACTACACACATCAATAAAGGGCCAGAACAACTTATATAACTTTTGGTATTATCGGTTTACTGATCCTCTGCGGGCGAAATTTTCTTTTGAATTAAACTACAATGTCCAACAAGAGTGGGGGTGGAACTTCCTAGACCCTCAGCCAGTACATGGAGGAGCGGATTCTGTTGTAGTCGGGCAGGTTCTCAACGGGACCCACGGCGGCGACGGCCGGGCACCGGTCGTAGATGTACTTCATGGCCACGTCGCGCACGTTGCCAACGCTCACGGCATCGATGCGCTGCTCCAGCTCGTGCAGAGGGATGCGACGGTTGTAGCACAGGATCTGGCGACCAATGTCCTCGCAGATGGGCGTGGTGCCGTCCAGCTGCAGCAGCATGTTGGTCTTCAGCAGGTTCTTGGCGCGCTCAACCTCGGCCTCTGTGACCATCGTGCACAAGCGCATCCACTCGGTCTGCACGTTGAAGAGCATATCCTGCGGGGGAAAGAGAAGTTTTAGTCAGATTCGATATGTAGTATCAATAATTTAATCAATTACAAATTAGTTATAATTCAGTTTTTAATGTCGAAGGTTTTCCCCAGTTCTTTGCTTACATTTTATGTAGAAAAAAAGTAGGAATTGATGTTTTGAATTACTTATCACTTTTCAAACGAACCCGCGAAACATTATGTTTTGCAGTTAGGCTTAAGTGAAATTGCTAATTAAATTTGCCATTATAACTAAATTGCTATTAAAGACATATGATTTAATTCACTTTTCTATATAAATACCTAATTTTTAGAATTTATTACTCACCTCACACTGCAGAGGATCGCATACGAAGTAAATGCCCCAGAGACCGGTGTCCTTGTAGCAGGTGTTGAACGACTGGAAGCTGTGGCAGAGGTCTGCAGGGGAATAATAACCATGAATTAACATATCCTTATGGTTCCAGAGGCTTACTTACTGTCCTCAGCGCTGGCACGGGCCAGATTGGAGGCGTTGTTGGCGCCACCACCCTGGGAACGATCCCAGGCACCGACCAGAGTGTTGGCCACCATCAGGGGGATGTTGTCCTGGTCGGTCCAGCCACATCCTTCGACGGCGATGGCCACATGGGCCAGGGGCAGGGAGTCGTCGCGCACGCGCACTTCGGAGCCGGTGAAGCGGCAGGGAGTCACCTCCGGTGGCAGCACACTGGCCTCGAGGCCACCCAGGCTACCGCAGGCCAGTTTGACCAGATCATCATGCTTGACGCCGCCAGCGGCGGCCAGAACGATGCGCGAAGCCTTGTAGTGGGTCTGGATGTAGTCGGTCAGGTCGGATTTTCCAATGGACCTACAAAAATGCAAAATATTTATAATTTCAGAATGGATATTTAAAATGGTCAATTAAAGCACGCACTGAATGTTCTTGGTAGGTCCCAGGATGGTCTGGCCCAAGGGAGTGCCCTGGTAGGCAGTGGCGTGCAAGTGATCGAAGACCACCTCCTGCAGGTTGCTCTCCACTTCCTGCATTTCGCGCAGAATCACAGATCGCTCGCGTGCAATCTCGGACTCGCCCAGCTTGGAGTTCTGGATGATGTCGGCCAAGATTTCGACGGCCTTGGGCACATCCTTGGACAAGCACTTCGCGTAGAAGACGGTCTGCTCCCGGGAGGTGTAGGCGTTCAAGTGGGCGCCCAAGTTCTCCACTTCAAGCTCCAGATCCGTCTGCGAGCGCTTTGCAGTGCCCTAACAAAAGGGAGGAAAAAAGGTGTTATACGGTTTCTAAGTGGCAAACTGGTGATCATACCTTGAAGGCCATGTGCTCCAGGAAGTGGGCCACTCCGTTGTTCTTCTCGTTCTCTGAACGCGAGCCCGCATCGATCCAAAGTCCCACGGTGGCGGTGGAGGCGCCGGAATCCTCACTGGCCACACGGAGACCATTGTCCAGCTTGGTCACCTGGGTGGCGGGGATGTTCAGCAGGGTCTTCTGCAGCGTGGCAGCCGACTTGTAGCGCTGTAAGTTCGGGAAAATCGGAAAAATGTAGCAAAAAGTTAAGTAAAACACGAACATAACCTCAAAGTGCTTGTAAGGGATTTTCTAAACCAATATCGTTACTTTACTCGGCAGAACTACTTTCTGGATTATAAAGGCATAGCCAAAATATGTTTATTTATGCTTATAAGTAGAGATATTAGCCAATAACACAGTGAGAAACACAATAATTTACAATTACGTAATTTAAATCCTGGGGAGCGTAATCATTGGATGGTTGCCTGGACTTACCTTGATCATGTCAACGCCCCGGATGAAGGTGCGCATATTCTGCGTGACGCCAAGAACTCGCAACGCCATCGTTCAGTTAAATCGTTCAATAGCCTATTAACTAAAAAATTATTAAGACTTGTTCGTCTCAGCGCCGCGGATGAAAAATTCACACTCACACACACCTATGCACTGCACTACGTTAAGTCGGCTGCGGCCAAACAGCTGTTAGCTGTTAGTGAAAAAAAAATCCTAAGGTGTGCACACACTGTCTTCAAAGCAACAACTTTTTTTTCTGGATTGGTTTAGTTTGGCTTTGTGACGATATAAACATTTAATTTAGATAGCTAACATAAAAGTTTTGGCCGGCATTTGAAGCTTGGCCTACTCTTTACCAAATGGCCGGCAATTTCTGGCAGAGCTCGCACTCGCAGCAGTGGATTCTGGACAAACAGGATTTGCTGCGGGAGCGTCAGCATGATTTGTTGGCTCTAAACGAGGATGAATACCAAAAAGTGTTTATTTTCTTTGCCAACGTAATCCAGGTGCTGGGAGAGCAGCTTAAACTAAGGCAACAAGTCATTGCCACAGCCACAGTGTATTTTAAGCGATTCTACGCGAGGAACTCACTGAAAAACATCGATCCTTTGCTGCTGGCACCCACCTGCATCCTGCTGGCCTCCAAAGTGGAGGAGTTTGGGGTCATATCCAATTCCCGACTGATTTCGATCTGCCAGTCGGCCATCAAGACCAAGTTCAGCTATGCATACGCCCAGGAGTTCCCTTACCGCACGAATCACATCTTGGAGTGCGAGTTTTACCTGCTGGAAAATCTGGATTGTTGCTTGATTGTCTACCAGCCGTACAGACCGCTCCTGCAATTGGTCCAGGATATGGGCCAGGAGGACCAGTTGCTCACTCTGAGCTGGCGCATTGTCAACGATTCCCTGCGCACCGATGTCTGCCTGCTATATCCTCCCTATCAGGTGCGTGATCATGTCCAGCTTCCTGGATCTTCCCCTCTCACAATACCCTTTTTTTTTAGATCGCCATTGCCTGCCTGCAAATCGCCTGCGTTATCCTGCAAAAGGACGCCACGAAACAGTGGTTCGCCGAACTGAATGTGGATCTGGATAAGGTCCAGGAGATAGTGCGCGCCATTGTCAATCTGTACGAGCTGTGGAAGGACTGGAAGGAGAAGGACGAGATACAGATGCTGCTGTCGAAGATCCCTAAGCCGAAACCACCGCCACAGCGCTGAAAATGCCTCATTCTTTTGTATTTAGCTTGTATTGCCTACTTAGGTGTATGTCCTCATCTTAATAATTTATGTCGATTAAATTGAGGTTTAAGCAATGAAACTATGCAACTAAATCTCTAAAAATACAAATCCGATCTGTTTTTATATAAGGATTTTCTTATTTTATTGTTTGTGGCTGTTCATTTTTATTTCTGCGATTATTTCCGTTGATTAGGAATGCAATATAATTCTATTTGCAGGAATTTTGCCTGCTTTGAGTTGATTGATTTTCTCTTAACAAAGTTAAAAATCATTTATTTTGTATTTTCTATATTACATTTCTAAATAAAAATCTTGTACATCTCTCGAACATTTTTTAATTAGAATGACGCTTTACAGATACTTGGCTTGACCTCTGGAGAACTTGGTGTTAAGTATCTTGGCCTTGTCAACGATCTGTTTAGTTTGATTCTTGTCGATTTTGTTGAGTTTTAAATCCACATCCCTGCTAAAGGGTCTGCGTTCTGGCTTTGAACCCGAGGCAGCCAGTTCCTTTTCCTAAAATTAATAAATTATAAAACAATACAAATTTTTGGTTTTAATTTCATTTTTACCTTTTCTCTTTGTTCCTTTCTTAACTTTTTTTGATGCAACTCGACAAGGGACTCATCCCGCTTGTGCTTCTTTTTGTGCTTTTTGGCCATACCTTCCTGTTCGTCATCGCGCTGCTGTTCGTACTTGACCTGGGCCATCTGCTCTAGTTCCTTGGAGCTGAAGGATTTAGGGCCCGACGCAGCAGCAGCCGCTTCACTCTGAGGTGTCTTCGTCCAGGAGGATCGATCACTGAAATCTGGTCGCTCTTTTCCCTGGTAAAAAGTGCGCTTCATGTTGCTCAGGGCGGCAAGACCGCTTTTTAGGCCAACATCTGGCAGCTCAAGCATCCACTCTTCACGTACGTCCTGGTCTGTTGATGTACCCAATCCTCCTCCCTCCAGAGCCGCCAGTTTCAGGGCTAGAGCACGTTCCTCCAGTGCGACTTGGCTTGCGTTTGGTAGCGGGCCAAAGGTGCCAGCTAGATCATCATCATCATCGTTATCATCAGCTTCGCCATTTGCCATAGGAGCCTTTTCCTGGGCAACATTGCTGGGTAGGATTGGTCCTATCATGGCCTGTGGTTTGGATTCCAGTTGCTTCTCCGCTGGGATTTCCGATTGACTGGACTTCCTCAAATGCGGCGGCAGGGCAGGACCGAAGGCATCTTGACTATTTGACTCTATCTCTGGTGGTGAAACATTCACCAATACAGTAGGTTTTGTATATGTCACTTGCTGCTCCTCCCCATGCCTGCTGCGCTTTTTTTCCTTGTGGCGTCGCTTCTCCTTTTTATGTTTCTTGGACTTCTTCTTTTTAGACTTGTCCACATCTTTGCTGTGCTTCTTGTACTTCCGTTTCCGATGTCTTTCGTCGCCTGAGGAGCTGCTGTCACTACTACTGTCGTCGCTGGACATGATCTGTAAAGAAAAGTAAATAATAGGAATTACACAAGCCGTTAAAGAACTGATCAGAAAGTCTTTCGATTTAATTAGGATTCGAATAGCCTTTCTTGATTCCGGGTTTCTCAACGTTTTCCTTAAAAAAAAAGAGGATAAGGTACAAAATGCAGATTCCATCTAAGCCTTTACTTGTATTCTCTGTTAGTAAAATAATCTAGAACACTAATCTTATTGCTTGACCTAGTTTCTCTCTGAGATCCCCAAAAAAACTCATTTCTTTGACTTGGGCTTTACATATATTGCAGTTAACAACTTTAAAGCTTAAAATTATATAACGAAATGCAGCTGTTGGGACAACTTAGTCGGTAAATTGGCAGCCAGGGGATTATCCCAAAAATAAACCTAAACAGCGAATGTTTTCTGGGCTTTGCGGTAGCTGTAGACCAGGGACTTGAGAACGCCCGCACTGGCGATGTTTTTGATCGATTGTGTGACGCTGCTGCGCCAAACGATGTCGTTGACGGATGCCTGCAGCACCTCCGGAAGTTGAGAAGCCACGGAAAGGTGATCCACCACCTCGGCGTAATCGCCCCGACAGGCAGCATTCCGCTTTAGGCGTTTCCTCAGCTCCACGGGCAACTTTTGCAGGTGTTGGGCGGCGGCTGTCGAGGATTTATCCTGCTCGAAGAGTATGGTTGCCTTCCCGCTTCCTGGCTCCTGACCGTTCATATTGACAGCCACAAACTTGGAGAGTTGCGCCAATGAAGGTTGGTACAAGGCAAAGAAATCCTTGATTTGCGGATTAACTATATTATGCACCTTCTGCTTGTTTTCCCCGAAAATCATGCGGAAATCTCCTTTGTAACTCAGTCCAGCGATGGTGTGAAACAGACTGTAGGCGGTGAACTTTTCCGGTAATAGTAGCAGAGCAACTTGCAGAGCAGACAAAAGGTTGCTGTCGAGTGCAGCTTTAAGAGAAGGATTATCTGAGGGATTCACTAGATCCGTTACGGGCTTATGGAGCCTCCCAGCCAGATATAGATGCCGCCAGTCAAGTAGATCGTCCAACAGCTGTTCCTGCGACACGACACCGTACTTTATGGTAAGACCCACATCCGCCAGTGGAATCAAAGTATTGCAATAGACGCCAGCACCCAAACGCTCCTGGTAGTTGGCAACAAAGCGCGGTCCCAGATGTCCAAGAGCAGAATAATGTGCTGGATGGCGATGCAGGTTCTCCGCGTGGAATCCCTGAGCATCCCGCACGCAGAAAACCAGATCTACAACGCTTCCCGGCGCCGGTCGCTGACCATTTCCATTGCCAAGTTTTTCATAGCCTTCCTGTTGTTTGACGCCGGATCCATAGGCGAACATGTAGCTGACGCTGCCTAGCGGAAATCGTGCCACCGTGCGTCTGTACAGATCGAGCATCTTGGGAGCGGGTATTTCCCTAAAGTAGACTTAACTTAGGCTCAATAATTACTTTTTTAGCACGTAACTCCGTTTCTTCTTTCTGGAGTCGCTGCTTCTTCTTTAAATTAGTTGCCTTTTGCCGGCGACCGGAGGTGTGGACACACTGATAATCAGATGGCGGTCAGATCAACAATATTATGGCCTTTCTTAAACATTTTAGTCGGGGGATCACAAAAAAATAAATTAAGCTTTGTTTAGTTTTTTATACCAGTCGAAACTTAAAGATTAATAATAAATTAACATTTAATATTCTGTTTTAAAATTTGGCTCCCTTTTACAGAAACTACTAGTGTTGAAAAGTATTCAGCAGACAAAATAGCTACTTTTAAAACAGGCTATTAATAGCTATATTTTTAAATAATTATTAAATATAAATTAAAATGTTTTATCTCTGAAAATATATATATATATGTACTTAGATAATTATTGTAAAATTATAAATATAAATATATATAAAGAATGTTGATCAATGTAGGCTTTGTCAGTATTTGAACATCACGAGATCATCATTCCAAATTCGACTAAAATTTTTAAAATACGAAAGACTGGTTTATTTCTTGTCGTGCGGTCAGCGACGTGAAGTGCTGTATATCGATCAAATTTTGCCGCCGGTAGTGTTGAAAAACTCAAAATTCTAGCTGTTGTTATTCCATTCTCGAAAGAAGAAGAGAAAACACGCACATTTTCTACATAAAACGAAAAAAAATTTGTACGGAAAGAACACGAAGCAATCATCATAGAAACAGACATGCCGCGACACCCGAAAAGAGCTCACCAAGACGAGGAGGACGAAGCCAAGGAAGATCAGGACCAAACAGAGCAGGCGCAATGTGCTCCAGAAGACATTGGGGCATTCACAAACGTGGGTGGAAATTCTACATTTATTCGGACTATATCCTTAACCATACCCTTTTTGCACTGGTTTTGCAGCAAGCTTTCAAAAACGTTGTGGCCGCAACAAGGGCCGCCAACGCCTTTCCCCAAGGAAACGCCCGGTCCCTCTATTTAAGCTACCCGGGCTACGCACGTGTCATGGACGACCTGTCCCAACGGGTGGTTGGGCTCATCGGAAATGTGCTTCAGACCAAGGAGATCAAGGGCGACATCAAGAAGTAAGGATTATATATCGTAATTCAGATATAACCATGACCATTTCAGTTTAATTAAAATGAATCCCTTTAAAATACCTACATAATGAATTGAAAATAAGGTTTCTTCCATACTGGAAAGCGACTTAATCAAAGCACTCGGGTTATAGGCATCAATACAATGTTTTGAAGACTTCTACAATTATATACTTTGACAAATATCCACTTGATCACAGAAGTAACAATTTAGCTGCCTGATATCATACAGTGCTAACTTTCTCAACCTTTTTCCAAACAGACGACAACTGGATGAGCAATTTGAAATGGTGCAGGAGTGCAATGATATTCTGTTCGAGCGCATCACCACCAACCTGGACGTCAAAAGCGGTCTGCGCAGGAATCCCCAACAGGTGTTGGAAGCTCAGGTGGACGTAATGAGCAACTCCACGTCTGCAGAACCAACAGTTGCTTCGCCACAAAATCTGGAAATTTCAAAAGCGGGCAGTTGGAACAGGACGACAGGAACGCCGCAACGCAGCATGGTTTCGGCTCGACTCTTCACGGCCAAAAATATTGTTCGCCCACAGACGCAGTTTAAGGAGTCTGTGGACAACAGTGCGCAGAATCCGTTCACTCCCAGGCTTAAGGAGAAGCCCAACTCACTGAAACCGCTGGCCCTACTGCCCGAATACGATGATGATGGGAATGTCCAGTCCTATCTGCATCCTTACGAGTTTGAGCTGCTGAAATTTCAGCCTCCTCCGCAGCAACTAGAAAAGCAGAAGCCAGTGCTTCCAGCTCTCATGGCAGACACCGAACTGATGGTGGTGAATACGGTTGAAAAACTCCAGGAGGCCTTGGAGGAATTAAGGCAAGCGACCGAGATCGCCATCGATGTGGAGCACCATTCCTATCGCACCTTCATGGGCATCACTTGCCTGGTCCAGATGTCGACTCGCTCCAAAGATTATATTTTTGATACCCTAACTTTGCGAGATGATATGCATGTACTGAACCTGGTTCTCACCGACCCCAAGAAGTTGAAGATCCTGCACGGCGCCGATTTGGACATTGAGTGGCTACAGCGGGACTTATCGTTGTATATCGTCAACATGTTCGACACGCATCGAGCAGCCAAGGCTTTAAATATGGCGAGGTTATCATTGGCGTTTTTGCTAAAGCACTACCTGGATTTGGATGTGGACAAGAGCCTTCAACTGGCCGATTGGCGGATGAGGCCATTACCCCAGCAACTGGTGGACTACGCTCGCCAGGATACCCACTTTCTGATATACGTTTACGAACGGATGACCAACGATCTGTTACAGCAGCAAGCTGAACCGGGGCTGCTGGGTAGCGTCTATCAAATGAGCACGGAAGTGTGCAAGAAGCGGTATAACAAGCCTCACATTGGACCGGATTCGCACATGGATTTGGTGCGGAAAACGAAGCGTTCCTTCGACAACCGACAGTTGCATGCGCTTCGTGGAATCTTCGAGTGGCGCGATGCGACGGCGCGGTCGGAGGACGAGAGCTATGGCTATGTGCTACCCAACCACATGATGCTTCAAATCGCCGAGAGTCTACCAAGGGAGATGCAGGGCATTCTGGCCTGCTGTAATCCCATCCCGCCGCTGGTGCGCCAGCAACTGCACACGCTCCACCAGATTGTCCTCAAGGCGCGCGATCAGCCGCTGGTCAAAGTGAGTTTCCCAGCAGTTTCAAGCAGCGCCTGCAACTCGCTAAACGTCGCTGCCTATTCCGAAATCTTTTCATTATCCATTAATTGTAACTAACGTTGAAATGAAGAGTATAGATCACCTTCTCCACATGTTTTTAATCATTTCCTATCCGCAGGAGGCTGCCTTAAATGTTAAAAAATATTTATTCATCAATTAATGTGGCATCATTTAGAATAATAGGATTTGTTTTATTAACAGGTTTATTAACAGTCGTAAATGATATCAGCTGATTTTAGGAAGGACTTTGCCCAGCTTTTTTAGTTTTTTATTAGGACATTTAGAATAAGTGAAAATGAATTTAATTTAGTTGCTAAGGCTTAAACATCATAGAGGAATTTTTATTTCAATTAGTAAGATAATTACTTATAATTAAAAGGTTTTGTGCCATTAAGCTTTGACAAAATCAGATCAGTTAGTCTTTGGCCTGGTAGCATAAAGATAATTTTGTGTGCTTATAAGTTTACCATACTTACTATTTCAGCCAATTTTAGAGGCCCGCAGCAGTACACAGGCATCGTTGCCGCCCTCGACCAAGGACTTCAGCAGCAAGCTCTATTGTCCGCATGACTTTTCGCATCAGGAAGAAACCCGCGATGATTTGCCCACTCTGTTAAAACGCAGTTCTACCTCAGGGAAACTCGAGCTGCCCAGAGAGGAGGATGCTCCAACAGAAGATTTGCCAATTGTGGCACCAGCAATGGCATTGTTCGACAAGCCCGGCAAGCCAACTCAAGAAGAGGAGCTGCGATGGGCCCATCTTCGCAAGGAGAGTCAGGCGCTCCGCATGCCCTATAAACGTTATCTTGCGATCCTGCCGCTAATGGAGCAGCTGAAGGCGGATCAGATCGCCAGGGAGCGCAGTGAGCTACTTAAGAGGCGTCTGTGTCCGGCGGCACCGGCTCCGGAGCAAAATATAAAACTGGAAGCACCTACCGTTAAACAAGAGGATGATGCCATGTACTCTGTTCCTTTAAAAGAACACTTGAAACGGAAACACCAAATGAATGGCAGAACGGATGGGGATCAGCAGGCAACAACCAGTAAGAGACCCCGCAAGGATGAGAATACTCAACCTACACTTAAACCAGAACCGCAGGTGAAGGTTGAACCCGCAAAACCAGTTCAGTTGGATACAGAGCATAGCGATGACGAAGTCGTAGCAGTTCCTATTGAAAGGCAGTCCAAAGAGCAACCGAAACCTTCGTCAGCACATAGTAAGCGGCAACAGAAGCCCAAGCAGATTAAGCGCGGTTTTAAGGCCAAAAACAGAGGAAATCATCCACAGAGCTCCAGCCAGCAGATTCCGCAGCCCAAACCTGAAGGGAACTTTGACTACAAAAACGTGGACTTCCAGCAATTTAGGGGCGGAGCGCAGAGAGCCCGCGGAACAGAAATCAAACATCAAATGCGCGGCAAGGTGAGTCAATATTCTATTGATCTTTGTTATTTTAAAATATTGGAACGCCAATCAATTATAATCTAACATTTAATATGTATTTTTTTTTAGAACCGTCCCAACAACCGCAACAATAAGCAGTTCAACAAGCTTTTTACATTTAGTAATGTGAGGAAAGAAGGCAAAAAATGAAGTGCACTTGTGACGAAAGTCTGTAATATATATATAATAGGTATATATATACAAGATGTGGACTTATTAGAAAATAAACAAAACCACCAAAAGTGAATAAGACAAGTGTTTATTTTCTATTGTGTATACACTCTTCTGTTATGTTACAAAACTATACTTTCAAATTTTGCAATTTTCTAAAATATTTCCTATTAAATAACAACGTAACTATGCATAAAACTAGACTATCAGATATGTTATCAATGTTCGGTTTTCAGAGCTATCTATCAGCGGAAAACTAATGAAAAACCATTAAATAGAATTTCATACCAATGGGGATATGCGTGTTATTATTTGCATTCAATTTGCTAAAGATACTTTCACAATTTAGCCTTATTATTAAAATTAAGGTGTCATGTTTTCTATAAATAAAATTATTAAATGGATGGCATTTAGGTTTATCAAATAATCTTTTCGACTTTTTTGCCTAATTTGCTTTGTTGAAAATCGTTAACCTACCTAAAACATTAAAACCAATTACGTTAAAAATAAACTTTAAAGGGTTACATATTTTAAGAACTTTAAGTGAATATTGACAGCCGTTGAAGGAAATCATTGACTAAAATTATTATATAAGTTTCTAGATACTTTTAGCTATCTTCTTATGTAGGAAGTGGAAAGTGAGTGTTCCGGAAGCTCTAGTGCTGGCCTATTCAGGGTCAACAACTTTTTAAGCCCTAATCTCAAGCTTGAACTACAGAGTTTTGAACATTTTCTCGCCCTCGATGTCCATGCAGTGCTCCACAACCGCGTAGACCACTAGAAGTCTCCTTTCCACTCCTTTTTTATGCTTATCTGTAATAAGTGGATAGAGGGCATCCTGTTTGGACAGCCGATCGACGATTTCCGTCAGCACGCCACCTGAGAAAACCTGCAGGCGATCCCACGTAGACTTGCGCAGGCTGAAAGGTATACATGTGAAAAGTTACGATATTAAAGTTGGTAAGGACCTTACAGGCAGCATTGGTAGAGGGGTGCCAGGATATCCAAGTGATCTTTATTCGGATTTCCAAAAGCTTTTCCATTATCGATGAGCACCACGCGCTCTTCCCGCGTCTCATAGTGATGGCGATCCCCATTCTGGATGAGATAATCGAAAATGGCCACATCTATGAGGTCCAGCAAGCGAATGGTCTCCATTTTGTTCTTCAATGACCTAAAAAAAGAACATTTATTAATTTATATTCAACAGCTATTTGGGATATACTGCGCAACTTACTTGCAGTATGTCATGTCGTCCTCCCATGGCGCCCGCTTGTCTTCCTTATAGGTTCGCTGCCATGGAGACCGCCGTTTAGCCATCGTTCCCGGAACGATATAGATGAGCACACCCTCGATGTTGTGCTTCTCGTCCCCACAGACCGTCTCCTCCTCGTTGCAGTAGTGACACTTTCCGAACAGGCAGTACGTTTCCTTGCCCTCCTCGTCCGTTTCGATGTTTATAGTTTGCTGGAGTTCCTGGTCCCCATTGGCGTAGATCTCCTTCTTTAGATTCACCACTCGACCCACTACGATTGGCGTCCACCGAAAGTCAAGCACGGCGCCCAGATAGAACGCATATACCTCCGCAGTGTGCCGATCCTTCCCGCTGTACACCACTCCCTCGATCACCTCGTCACGCGGATACCATTGCGGCTTGAAAATCACCTTTTGTTGCTGTGATAGCTTTATCAGCAGCTTCAGCTGGGTCCCGCGTCCCAGGTTGCTTACCCTGGTGATGGGTTCGCGGCGCATCGTTTCTAGTAGCTGACCCATCGATGAGTCATACAGCGGATAAACCTCGTTTTCATGCGGCCACTAAAAAAATTAAAAGGTAAGAAAATTATGTTTTAAATTATCAGGATTACGGCTTATAAGAACTAGTGCTCAGAGCAATTCGTCTAATATTGTTAAATTAAAAATGTTCTGCTTTGATTTCAAACTGGAGACTAAAAGAGTTAGGATGAGAACTAAAAAGATAATAAAATAGAATTGCATCTTTTGGTTTTGCTGTTTGCATAAGCACAATCGCATTTTCAGAAAAGGCATCTAGCGTAAAACGATTACTAATATGAATTATTGTTTCTCACTGGTCAGATATTAAGGTATTGACTCACCCAGTTCGCAATGTCCCACAGGACACTGGCGTTCTCGTAGGGTGCCGCCTTGTAGTTCTTGAGCAGCTTGTTGCGGAACATGAAGAAGCGCGGATTTCGATTGAGGTAGTTGGGCTTCAGATGACGCATCTTGTGCCTGATCATGTTCTCCAGCGCCCGAACGCTGGCCAAGTGACCCTCCTCTGCGCTCAGGTAGTACATGAAGTAGAAGTTGGCACCGAGCACAAGGCCCAGAAGGCTGGCCACGATTCCCGCGATGACGACGCTGCGCTTGTTCATCCTGCAGCCTGGGCGATAGCCTATTTTTAATATTACGTATACGCAGAGGCAGCAGCGGCACTGGCAAATTGCTCAATTCTAGGCGAAATGTTGATATGGCCGGGTTGCCGCAGGGGCATGTTGCTGTTGCTGCGGGTTTTCTTGCTATTGTTGCTGTTGTACATGCAATATTTGCTACAGTTCTTGCAATTGTTGCTGCTGCTTTGCCAATTGTTGTAGTTTCTGCTTATGTTGCCCTTCCTTTTGCTTTTTTTTTTGGCAGACATCGGCTAACAACTGTTTGCATCAGTCCATTGTTGTGCAAATTAATTGTGTTCGCATCTAAAAACGTGAATACATTAATTAAATTGTCAGTACTAGAGAAATAGTCCTGTTCCGGGTTCTAACTTATTTTGCTCACCTACTGCAACAAGTTATTCAGATCCGATTGGTTGTTTACAGTCGTTGACCCTATTAACCCTCGAATTCTTGGCAAATATCGTCGTCTGGTAGAGATTATTCAGATTCTGGTTTATCTTATAAACGCACTGCAACTAGTTAATGTTCATTGGTCAGCTGTGGACAAAATTGTATAAACGATTTTAATCAAATTATTATAAAGGGTTAAAGTGAATTGTATAAAGGATGGGAAAGTCAACGGATTAGTAATTAACAATAACTCTGTTTTGACTAAGAACACGTCAAAGTTTTTTGTGTCTAACTAACTTTGATGGCAATTGAGAATAGAACTTTAATTTAAATCAACTCTTTTATGGGTAATAGTGTCTCCAAGCCGTAGATGCTCTCACTAGATCCTGGTTATCATCGAAATCCTATAAGAGATAAAATTGAAAGGTCCTGTTCCTGTCAGAAATTAATGTCTATAAGCCTTACCCGTTTGTTTACCACCGTGAAGTGGCCCCTTTCGGATTCTTGTATTCTTGGCAGCCACAATTGCCCAATAAATTGTGCGCTTCCTCTTCTGCTGCCGCTGATTTAATTGGCCGCCGTCTAGTTTTTGGCCGACATTAACAGGCCCAACCACACGCATTCAAAAACGGAAAACTTCTGCGGACGCCGATTAAAATAAGGCACTTAGTTCGCCTCTTGTTTAGCCGATTCGTGTATAAATAGCCTTTGTTTATGTCGGTGAAATTGGGAAAAACATGCGTTTTTCGGCGCAGGTGTAAGAAGAAAGAAAAATCACAACAAAAAGAGCGGTAGCGAAGTAAACAAAAAACAGCTGATGCAAACAGATGATCCGCAGCCATGCAGTATATGACGATCTGGCAACGCCATCAGTGCCCGCAACGGTTTAAAACATATTTAATGGTACACTCGTGTTAAGCCAGAGTGAAACCATTAAAAATGTCGTTTGCACGGCATTTGCCTTGTGCGGGTGTGTAGGAGTTTACCAAAAAGCTAATCAACAAACATACGTAGTGCCGGCTAAAGGTCAAAGCAGAAAGTCTTTTTTTAAACGGTGAGTGTTGAGCCTGGCATTCACACTCATTTTAGTTATTATATACACCCACGGTTGTAAACTGCACAGATGAGTCCATGAGTGAACACGGAAAGAAAATTCTGGCACTACATTTTTTTCTCCCAAAAAAAAATGATTTTAAATACAAAAAATTATATCCTGGGTGATAGTAGAAATGGCTCAAATGTGCTATATAATGAACTACTACACCTTTTTATGCCTATTCTTTTTATTACCCAAAATACATTTTCTTCAAAATGCATTCTTTTGATGTGTGAAAAATAAAAGAGTATTTAGTGCCTTCATTTAAAGGAAACTTATACTTACAAGAAAACAATTGGTAACCCATTGAATTTCTCTTTTAAACTTTTTCAGGAGTGTAGAGTTACGTGGGGTTTGCTTAGTTATTTTTTTCATCGATGGGGTTGAATAGGATGGTTTACCTTGCCTTGGGGCTCCCACTGGAACAGAGCGCATAAACTGCGCCCACTCTTCGTGCTTGCGAAATATGGAAGGGGGACACGATGGAGTGAAAGCAGGAAAAACTGTATGTTGAGGAGAAGTATCCCTGGCCACATATGGCGCAAAATAAACCGACAAATGATAACGGCACTCGAGCAAACAACAATAAAGGATAAAAACACGAAAATCGAGTAAATGAAAGGAAAACGCACGAATGTGCTTCCCTCAACTCCCTTGCCATTTCCTCTTTTTTTACCCAAAAACACCCACTTTCCTTCTTATTTCTCTTCCCCGAAAATTCAAATGCCTCCAGCATTCGCCGCCACATTTGCTGTAGGCCCGGGAAATTCAAAGGCAGTTGGCGGCCAGAAAGTAACACCCTCAGTGTCGACGCATTACGATTACAGTTGAATTTAGCCCACAGCGACATTCACTAACAGAAATAAATTTAACAAATATTGAAAAATGTGTTATAAAGAAATTTATGGCATGTGCCAGTTGTAGATGGCCCAAAATGGGTTCACCATTTAAAATTATATTTTCTACAAGTATATTATTTTATGTTAATAAAATTAGCATTTCAAGTTGAATTTTTTTTTTAATATTGACTTGAACATTTTGAGGTGCATGTAGTGAGTACGCAAGTGCCAGAAAATGTTCTGCTTACTTCGTTTTCATTGTTTTGTGGGTTGGCCCGTTTTTTTTTGTTTGTTTGTCGGTTCGCGTGGGGTGCGTTACACATATTGAAGTAAGCCAATTTGTTGGTATCGTTTGCGTTGGCCAAGCTAATCATAAATGAACTTGCTGAGCAGGGAAATGCATACGTGAAATTCATTTAGGGTTTCAGACTGAATAAAATTTACAGAAGTTAAAATTTATCGTTCGGGCTCAAATTTTATGATTTAATAGCTAAATATCTAAATATATAACCAATTGATTGATTTAATTTATAATTTTAATGATAATGAAAGCTAATTAGCTAAGCAGAAAACAAGTAAAATGTGTATTCTTAATGAAATTTCAATTCAAGTAGTAGTCCTTTACTATAAAGATTGATCAAATACAAATAACCGAACACTTCCAAAAAATATCAATTAGGAAACGAGTCTCACACCGCTGTCCTCTTATCCAAGTGGCATCGGGCAAATAAACCATACTAAACAATTCAATTATGAGGCCCCAAAAGCCAAAGAAAGTACAGTATTTAGTAATTGGGTCAGATGTCGCTAACGAGCAATGACAATTACACAGAAGTCACAAATGCCCAAAGCTGACGGCTAACACGAAGGATTCCATTTCGACCACATGAAGGGGGATCCCTTACCGAAAAATTAGGAATTAATTTGGTCGGTAAAGTTATGAATTCAAGTAGCATTGATAGAACATATGTACGATAATTTGGAATTTCAGCCCAGTAATCTATTTTATTTCTTTATTTCTTTCTATAAACGATTGCGTTCAGAAATATTTATGACTATTAAATAATTTGATTTTATAATAAAATTCGTATTAGCTTTAAAATTATATCAATTATGTTATATAAAACATTAATAAGCTCTCTAAGTTAAGGTTGAATATATTAAAAACATTTTGAATGTTAGCATTAAATTTAAGTCATTTTCATACATCTCGGACAGTGTTCATCCCTTCAAGCACCATCGACCGCCGTTAAATAACAATGAAATCTGCTCAAACATAATTTTAATTTTTATTGTCATTAACACTTACCTTTTTAACCAGCGGCAACAAGGAGGCTGTGAAAAAATCAATTATTTCATACACCAGCACATATGGAAAAGCTACATGCCGCGTGTTAATTGCCGCTGTGCCCCAATTCCTGTTTTTGTGCCCTGTTTTTGTTTGTCGTCTCTGGATGGCGTTTTCCTTAATGGCTGCCGCTCTTATCTGGCCTCTCATGCGTTTTGTAATTAATTGGCAGACATTTTACTGCCGTGGAACGTTGTCATAGGTCGCTCAGCACGTGCTGGGCAAAACAAGAGGGGGTGGTTCGACCCAATGATTAATTGCAATTTAATTTGTTTGGCATTTACCAGCGCTTTAAGAGTCAAGCAGGAAATAATTCCAGGACTATGACAAAATGTCCACCATCCTCCCGAAGGCAACATTTAAATTTGTACATTTGTTTGCCAGTTTTGTTATAAATTTCCCTCTGCCTTCAATTTATTTTGTTTGCTACAATTTTAATTGAATTTTGTTTCACAATACAAAGGGGATCCATCTAATTAATTGTTTTTTGTTGTCTTCCCTTGTTTTGATTCGGTTTCGTATTCATTCTAATTTTTTTGTGAGTTTGTTTTTGTTTGCTTGGCTGCCAAGAATATGCAAACTGGGGCTTATGAAAATGCCTAATGAGTCGGCCTATGAATTATGGGTAAAGCAAAATAAGCAAACAAAATGAAATCTCTTTTGGCTGGCTTAAAATCATCCAATGCCGAGAAACTTAAGAAAAATACGTAGAAGACAACTTTAATAGGGATCTTCAAGGGTATTATTATTATTATTTGATTTATTATTTTTCTTAAATGAAATTACATCAATTTTTGTTTGAAAGAAAACCGCTTTTAAACACCAAATTATTTTTACTTTGAAACTTTGATTTTGTTTCAAAGCAAGTTTGCGCGGATTTCTCGAGACAAATTTTTTATGTTGTAAAGACAAGATAGCCAACATATTTTTTGATGCCTTTTTTACGCGTCTTGCTAGTGCAACAAAAGGACATGAAAAATGGACAGTAATTTGGGGGCCCAACGTGAAATTAACTCATTCGTTGTGGCCTAGAATAACAAAAGACACACGCACACACACACACACATACATACAGCCGTAAATAGACGGCACTGAGGTCAAGCAACGTCATTTTTCAGACGGCCAAACAAAAAAAGGAAATAAAGAAAAAAAAAAGAAAATAACTCGGCTTCAAGTGCCGCCACACGGAGAATTTAATGTGTCAGAGTGTTGGGCTTGGTGGGATGTGTGTGTGTGTGTGTGGGTAATGTGTGTGAGCCAAAACACATGCTCGGTCAGGAGGAAAATATAAACAAACGCTCCCGTAAAAGCTTCGCACTCCTTTCAGCCCGAAAAACTATGCCACGAAAGCTCTGTGCGTAAAGCTGAGGAGCAACAGTTTTGCGAGAGAATGTGGGAGAGAGTGGGAGAGCGGGTGCTGCACGGCAACACTGAACCTTTCTTTTCGAACCCCTGAACATCGCTCTCTTTTTTTCCGAATCTCCTGGGTGTTCTCTCTTTCTCGGCGGAGCAACAGTTTAGGTTCCTCTCTCACCCTTCGCGGCCCCCGGACAAAAGTTGTTGTTGCTGCCGTTGCTACTGCGAGGACTTCACCTGAAAGCTGTTGTTGTTGTGGAATTTGAGTCAATGGAACAGAGAGTACACGCAGAGAAATTCCGACTAGATTGAACTTGCAAATATCTAAATATAAAATCTAGAAAACTAACTCTGAATGGAAATCAAAATGTGTAAAAACTCCTCTTTCTTAATACAGTCAGTATATAAGTCGAAACGGCCAGATGTTTCGAATATATCAAGTAACAATTAGAACAATTATTGACAAATATATATAATATTATAATATATTATAACTTCGTAGTTTTTTAATCTAAGTCATAGTGATTTTTTAATAATTCCATAGTTACGGTTTTACTGTAATGAAAATCGGAGGACTATATCATTTAGCAACCATAGGAACACCATCGATAAATATTTAAGAATATACCCAAACAAATTGAAATATAGAATATTTAATTTTTGTACGTATGTAGGTTAAAGGTTTATAAACTTCGACTTCCTGTCTTCTTTTATTATTAGCCATAATAGTATGTTAAGGAACATTTAAAAAAATAAAAAGCGATATTTAATTGAAACTCTGATTATTAGTATTATAAAAGTGTTCATACTTTAATAAGTCCGCTCAACCAGTCGAATACGTGATTTTCTTATTTCTGAAGCTATTCCAATTATATTAAATTTTTCAACAATCCATTAAAATCTTAAATATTAAATTCTAAGTTTCTTTATTTAATAAACCATGGAAAAGAAAAACTTAATACAAACATTACATTTTAAGAAACAAAATTACTCAATTTACCGAATTTGCTTTTGTAACGATTCAAATATAATTATTTAAAATGTATTCAAACATTTTTCCAATTGAACGACAGTTCTTTAAAATTTGTGTGAATAAAATATAGAAGTTATATTGAATTACATATGGCTTTTAA